GTTTCGTCATATGACAAAGAAATCTGCTTCGGTCCGTTGTGGACAACCTTACACTTGGCACGGCAGTACAACGCGCCTGCCATCACTATATCGACTGGATTGAAAGATCGATGGTAGTATGAATTCGAAGAAGATATGCTATATGCTGTATGCTGTACGGTCTATGAGAGGGCTATGGTATGGTATTATTATGCGCTGCGCTCTCATATAGTATACTATGGTTGAACTACTTTGACGTCAAGATGCCAAACATCGAGAGGCATGGGGGGTAATAACAACGATACGGCTGTGTTTTCCACATAACCCATTCTCAGTGTAGAACAACCATGCAATCAAGCGGTGTACTAAGCATGCTACGAGTAATGAGCAGATGCCACGTCACGCGAGTATCAGATGGTAGACTGGTGCGCACGATAAGCTCGGGAAGAATGCTTTGTGCTACACTAAAGTGAGTAGTTCTGCAGCGTGTCGAGGACTGTCGATGCGTCGCCGCAGTCTAAGCGATTCGCCACCGGTGTCTGGAAAATCTCTGGGAAATCCCTCAAAGAGAAGCCTCGTCGCGCCATCTCATGGGACGCGATCTTACGAGAATAAGTTGCAGGGGGTTAAATTAAATAAATTAGAAATCGCTTATTATCAAAGAAAACGAACCCGGCGCGAACCAAAAAATTAGCTAATTACGACCATCTTGGATTTATTCTCGCGCCTACTGTGCCAGAGTCGACATGGCTTCTGGCAATCGCCAAACTGCCTCAATTTGACGCGATTCTCGCGGCTTTCTGTAGTACCCAGATGGGATCGAGTAAGTTAGTTTGGGATGAGCGGCAGCGAGTTGGATCGAGAAAAAAAGGCGCACGAAGATGGCCGCCGTGCTTCGCGCTTAACGCGGTATATTAGGCGCTGCCAGATCGTCCAGCGCTGGCACCATGAGCAAGTTTTTACACGTGCGGGGGGGGGGGGCGGACACCCGTGTAAAGCTGGGTTTCAATACTGATTTTTGTGTTGTCAAACTGGCGAGTTGGACCAATTTCGGCAATTCGGCAACACCGAGTTGGGAAAATGGAGCTTCTAATCTCCCACTAGTTGGTAGTGACTCTGAGACGCTAGTCTCTACTCGCCCCACAATTGCTGTACTGATACATGTACTCTGAGACGCTAGTCTCTACTCGCCTCACAATCGCTGTACTGATACATGTACTCCGAGACGCTAGTCTCACTCGCCCCACAATTGCTGTACTGATACATGTACTCTGAGACGCTAGTCTCTACTCGCCTCACAATCGCTGTACTGATACATGTACTCCGAGACGCTAGTCTCTACTCGCCTCACAATCGCTGTACTGATACATGTACTCCGAGACGCTAGTCTCTACTCGCCTCACAATCGCTGTATCAATACATGTACTCCGAGACGCTAGTCTCTACTTGCCTCACAATCGCTGTACTGATACATGTACTCCGAGACCTAGTCTCTACTCGCCTCACAATCGCTGTACTGATACATGTACTCCGAGATGCTAGTCTCTACTCGCCTCACAATCTCTGTACTGACACATGTACTCCGAGACACTAGTCTCTACTCGCCTCACAATCGCTGTATCAATACATGTACTCCGAGACGTCTTTCCGTTACCCTGCCATCATCGCCCCGCCCGTCGATGTTTTTTGGCGAACGTCAGTGTAAACCGGTTAGCATAGTGCGTGTGCAGAATGCACGGAGTTGTAAGGAGTTGTGAAGCCCCGTGTAATCGCGTAATGCTCTCATTCTGCAGCCAGGTGCGAACGATGCGGGGTGAGGGGAGGGTAGGTAGGCAGAAGCTCCTACCTGCTACGTGTCAGCATGCACCACATAGTATTAATGTGTACTATAAAATATCACAAGACATTGACACACTCATCAATTGACAAGTGCGGAATTATTGCAAGATGGAGTTTTTTCTTGCCACATACTCCCGGGGATACGGTGAAACCACTGAGTCCATTGAGTGAGACCATTGATTTTACTTGCTAATCCATCATTTTATTCCACAAGATGCACAGATCAGGATTTGTGTGCATAATAGTATATTATATGCGAATTCTGTCCCTGCCACAAGCTTCCGCGGATGAATCTTAAGGAAATGGCAGAATGCTGCTTTCACTCACTAAATCTTCACGTTATTGCAGGGTGCGTGTGGATTGAGACCCACGTGCATGCAGTAACGCACAGCTTCCTGAATCGCACACGCTGATTAATTACACATTGCAATGGCTTCCTACAGTCTGCACAATGTAATGTATTCCCTGCCGCTGCGAACAGAGAATGCCCCCACGAGCCAGACCTCCGCCATCGCCGGACCCCCACCCTCACCGCGCGTTTCTTATTCGGACGAACTCGAGATAATTTGCCTTTTTTCTCTTGGCTGCGATGTGGGAATTATATTTCTGTCGCGTGTGTCATTGCAGGAGGGAAGCCCGTGCAACCGTAATTACATTTAATTAGCATTTCACATGTGCGACTGGCAGCGAATAGAAACAAAATGCGATTCTATTCACTCTCAATACATCTGCATCGGCTAGATCTTCGAACACCTGTTTGAAGTAACCCGAATTGTCATTCACTACCATCTGTACTCCACTCTCATATCACTTAAACAAGAGCCGCAGAGCGTCTGGGCTCATCTGGGGTCTGTTGCTACGGTTATGAACGTACAATTTTGGGTTCGGGTTAGGGAGTAGGCGTAGGCGACTCCCTAGACTCGTTAGTGGAGTAGGCGAGGTACGGTCCGGCATATTAGATAGTACCAGGGTACGTACTGGCAGTACCCCGGGGGACATAGACCCTCTCAGCGATAATATCCAGAGCTAGTATGATGTGGTCAAATCCATTTTTCCATGCTATAAGTGCATAAAATGTTGGTGTTTTTAATGTTGGTATAATCAGTGATATTTCCACTGTCAGGTGAGACTACATTCAGCTATATTTAGTTTTTCTGAGCCAAAAAACTCGCAATAACCGTTTTAAGGCCTGTCTGCCTAAGTTTTCACATTCTGCAGAGGAAGAGGTGAGACGTTAGTTCGTTGGCCGGCAGTACAACGTAATTAGCACCTGTTGTAGTTGTAGTGGTTTTTGTTGTTGTTGTAGTTGTCATGCCAACACAGTCTGCAGATGAATAATGGCTTATGGAATAACATGGCTAACATGTTGCTATTGTTGTTGTTGATGGTGTTGCTGCTGTTGTTGTTATTATAGTTGTTGTTATTATAGTTGCTGCTTCTGTTTTTGTTGTTGTTGTACTTGTTGTTGCTGCTGCTACTGTTGTTGTTGTTGCTCTTGTTGTTGTTGTAGCTTTTGTTACTGTTTGCATTGTTTCTTTGCCGTTGTTGTTGTTGTTGTTGTTGTTGTTGTTGTTGCACTGCTGCTGCTGTTGCCATTTTATTATTGTTGCCGCTGCAGTTGGTGTTGTTGCTATTGTTACGTGTGGCATATTGTTGCTTAGCAACAAACCATGTAAGGTCCTGCGTACAGTCCAGAAAGTTCGAGATAGCTTGTGGGGCTGAAGTGTGTGTTCCAGAAGTATACCTGATTACTATATAAAGCCAGCATGCATAGTCATGAGGGCAGATACTAAGTCAATAATCGTGAAGTGATAGACGATAGTCGTTACGCAAAATGTGCATTGACAAAAACACAGTCGTGTTCATCACAGGGTGCGAAAGAGTCCGAAGAGTCCGACAGAGTCCGAAGTCAAATACTCCCTGATTTACTGTCGGCCTCCCTGATTTGACATATGCGGGAGTCCGTGTGACTCCCTGAAAATTCTGCTATACTAACTAGTTCGTTCCAGAGCATGGCCTCGTGGAAATACCGTATTTTTTCAGCTAATATCCAAAGAAAATTTGACAGACGTGCAACCGCATGAATCTTAAAAATAAGCACAAACATTATTGTTAATATTTTTAATTTTGAACCTCAGACTGCGGACTCCCTTATTTTGCTGCAGACTCCCTCATTTTGAGGGTAGGGAGTCCATTAGACTCCCGTGTTCAAAAGTTAATTTCTACCCCTGTCATCATCATTTGGATCTTCACGTGGTAACTGCGGGCGATTGTTCAGCACTGAGTTAAACTGCCGTGCATCACCGAATCCAGAAAGCTGCAACAACTGGAGATCTACTCAAAGCTACATGTCACATTGGCTTCCTCGGAACGTCAGGAAAGGACAGGAATTCGAGTCAGCAAGCTACACTGGACTCTAGGCCTGGCTACGATCAAAACTCGTAGGAAGAATTCGATTTACAAATATGTTGCTAATCTTAGTCATTATTTGAACCGTTCCTGTATATAAACTATATATCGTAATATTCAACCCATTGTTAATTAAAGATGTCGACTTAAACAAACTTTCTGTGTTAGACGTATTATCTGTTGGTTTCATGCCGGGACCGGTTATTTCTGACCGTAACACTATGTTGTCCTCAATGCTGTTATATTGTTGTTGTTGGCGTTATTGTTGTTGTTGTTGATGTTGTTGTTGGTATTGCTGTATCACTGCTGCTGCCTGCGTGCCTGTGTGTGTGTTGGAGTCGCACCTGTTGGTTGATTACGCGCCCGACCAAATTAGATGCAAATATGGTTTCATTGTTAGCCTAATTCAAGTCGCTACACGAGCCACTCGCCCGTACTTGATGGCAGAGATCAAAAAACCCGCACCCACTGTACCTGCGTATTACTCATTCGCATGTATATTGTAGCGAGTAAACAGCCAGTTCTCATTACACCCGTACTGCTGAGATGTGCATTAACTTCTGTTCGCATCTGCAGTCAACACGACATGCTAACAAACTGGGAAAAATTGCCTGACAAAATAACCTAATATATGTGTGTATAATATGTATATGTATATATACATATATATATATATATATATATATATATATATATATATAATACACATATAGTTAGCATCAGTATTCAAATCAGTGAGCATATATTTAGTAAATGACATCAATCACTCTCACCTGTGGGACATGAAGAAAGGTATTCTAAATACTCCTGAAAGCACTCGCTTGCCTAAGCTCTGGATTGGCTGCCATCGAATGGCAATGTTCCACACACGAGCACGTATAACACTACACCATGCTCTGAAAGCGAAAAGAACAAGAAAATTTTTTCACACTTGTATTGTAAGCTGGAGCTGGGCAAAACAATCTATCATTAGAAACAATTTTTAGCTGACGATCCTGTAATTTAGGAAAATATTTAATATTTATTCTAATATAATGCCCCATTTCTAAATATTCTTGTAACGTATATACAGAGGTACTCACACACATATGCACACGCAATGTAAATCATTGTTTAACATCGTAGTTTGATACGCCGTGCGCACTGTCTGAATATGATATGAGCGTCACACACATCCGCACTTGCCTGGAGCAAACGAACTCGAGGGCTTTGATATGTGGTAGCCCCGCTCTTCAATTAAGCCTCACGTGGGAAATGAGATGACACGCTGATACAAAACGAGGCACGAGCCAGTCCCAAGATCACACTCAGTTCACGCGCAAACATTGCAGCTGAGTGGCACTCAAGTGATAAGCTGATCGAATGACAAGGGGTAGTGGGGTAGTGCAATGGTGATCCTATCAAGAGACGTCCAGCGGACAGACCCGTTGTGCTACCCATATTACTTTCTCGCATGATTTCAATTTTCTATGCATCGCACGCGTAATAAGCACGAAAAATACAATAGAGGTGCGAGGTGCTAGCTCTTTAGCTATACACTCTCGTAAAGGGGGCTTATGTCGGGCTTGCGCAGCCGACTCGACGTGAAGCGCAACTGCGATTTCGAGCAACTGGAAGCGATCGGCACGACTAGTTGCGTCCAGTTGCCCACTGTTCTATTCTGACAACTAGTGGCGGCCATCGCAGGCAATCGCGTCGCAGTCGATCGACCAAAGCACTGCAGTCGCAGTGAATTGTAGCCAGTTACTTCCAGTCGAGTCGGCTCGCAAGCCCAACATAAGCCCGCCTTAAGGCTCCTATTTTCTATGCATCGCATGGGATACGGGCCACACAATACGAGAGAGGTGTGAGCTCCACTCTCTAGCTATAAACTCCTTCCCTTTGTGTATGCCTACTTCGCCATGACATTTAATTTTTAAGCGCCACACAGGAAATAAGCCACAAATATAGGGGCGAGAAACGACAAATGCACTCGGTTCATGGCACCCGCACGCATGACAGTCTCGCGTCCCGCGCCGAGCAAAAGCCTCGTGCAATTAATAACATATCCCTAATCTATGGACGCGCGCGCAAAACGTAGCTCAAAGATTTATAGCGCATCGCATGGCAAGGTAAAACCCGCCGCGCACGCCGCGTGATCCAGATGAGACGGGATACTAGAGAAGCGTTGCCGAAAGGAGGTGTTGATCCCAAGCGCTATACGCGCAGATCTTGCGCACAGTTCCGCGGCAAGGCGCACGCGACCGCGGGAACGTCCTATGACAGTATGCAGCGCTGGCAGCTATGGATCCGTGCGCCGAATGAATTGGCCGGCGCACAGATCATAGCGCCAGCGAACAGTCCGCAATTTAGTGGGGACACAGAGGGTAGACATTTGGGACGTGAACAGTGTTCACTTGTTATAAAAAACATAATTTCTCTCTTCGTAACCGAGCTGTGTGACGCGAAATCACAGAAAGACTGACGAAATTCTCGCGACGACTCGATAATTTTACCGGAATACAATGAAACAGCTCAGCTGCATTGAGCTGCTGTTCTTTGCAAGTTGAATGAAAATATCTATAAAGTGTCGACACCTTCTGCTTCTACACTGTGTTTATAAGTTTTATTATGAATTGTATTTTATTATGCGTCAGTGCTTCATGTACGAGCGCGCAGCTGGCAGCGGATACATAAGCTGGTTTAAATAATATATGCGGAAATAATACGCCTCTATTCATGTAAATCGAAATGTTCACCTATATACAAACAATGACGACGTAATATAATCACATATAATTGAATCACAGCCAACCCCACCAACCTGCGCCGTCGATCCCCATATTATGCATAGCCGCTAATCGTAGCCGTTCAGCTGCTTGTTTGAACGTTAATTTGACCAGGAATACAATGAAACAGCTGAGCACTGCATGAGCTGCTCTTCTTTGCAAGTTCAATGAAAATATGAATAAAATGTGCGAACACCGTCTACTTCAGTTCTACACTGTATTGTATAATTTATTATGAATTGATTTATTTATGCGTCAGCGCTTCATATAACGACCGCAGCTGCAGCGAAAGCATAGACTTGGTTTTATATTATAATACGATCTATCTATCCATGTTCGATCTATCCTTGGGCCTATGCCTCTATTCATGTACATAGAATGTCACCTATATACAAACAATGACGACGTAATAATCACATAATAATCACATAGAGTAGCCTAGTATGTTGACTATATCGTAGGCGTTCTGATAGCCGTAAAGAGTCGTGCATGCTATATATGCGTATATATAGGGATTGGACCGTGAAGGTATAACTGCGAGCAGGCGAGTTCCAAGTTTTTCTGCAAAGTTTTTCTGCACAACAGCAATGACGGCCTCCCCTCGACCGCAGGGGTAGACGAAGTTTTTGCTATAAGCAGCACGCTGGTACGATGTAATATAAGCAAAAACGGCAAAACGGGCTAGAGAGGAGATGCACGTGCTCGCACGACGTGCCGTCGCCACGGGGAGCGCGGGGTCAAGAAGGTTGATAAAAACCTCGCACGTACGAGCCAGGTAATATAGCTTCGCTCTTAATATAGACTTATTAGTTTTTCGAAACTTGAGCCTCCAAGGGCCTGTGCTCTAACAAACAATACAAGGCTTACACATTGTGCGTATGAACGTTCTTTCTTGTCAACATGTAGAAAGACGTGAACATTTAATGTAGTACACAGTTACGTCAAACTATTTTAACGACTACTATTAGGAGACTATTACGACACTATTCCAACGTTCGCTCACTATGCGAAAGAAATCTTTCGTCCTTTGGACAGACCTTACACTTGCACGCAGTACAACGGCCTGCCATCATATATCGATGGATGAAAGATCGAGGGTAGTATGAATTCGAAAGAAGATATGCTATATGCTGTATGCTGTACGGTCTATGAAGAGGGCTATGGTATGGTATTATTATGCGCTGCGCTCTCTATAGTATACATGGTTTGAACTATTGACGTCATGATGCCAAACATGAGAGCATGGGGGGTAATAACACCTCCTGATAACACACATACGGCTGGTGGTTTTCCACATAACCCATTCTCAGTGTAAACAACCATCAATCAGCGGTGTACTAAGATGGCTACGAGAATGACAGTGCCACGTCACGATTCGAGGTAGACTGGTGCGCACGATAACTCGGCGAAGAATCTTTGGCTACACTAAAGTGATAGTTACTGCAGCGTGTCGAACTGTCGATCGCGGCCCAGTCTAAGCCGATTCGCCACCGGTGGTCTGGAAAAATCTCTGGGAAATCCCTCGAAGAGAGCCTCGTCGCGCCATCTATGGGACGCGATATGTACGAGAATAAGTTCAGGGGGTTAAATTAAATAAATTAGAAATCGCTTTTATAGAAGAAAACGTAACGCGCGAACCAAAAAAATTAGCAATTACGACCATTGGATTTATTCTCGCCCTACGTGCAGAGTCGAATGGCTTCTGCAATCGCCAGAACTGCTCAATTGACCGATTCTCGGGCTTTCTGTAGTACCCAGAGGGATTCGAGTAGTTAGTTGGGATAGAGGGCAGCGAGTTGGATGAAAAGGCGCCACGAGATGGCGCTGTTCGCGCTTCGCGCGTATATCCAGGCTGCAGATCGTCGAGTTGGATGAAAAGGCGCCACGAGATGGCGCTGTTCGCGCTTCGCGCGTATATCCGGGCTGCAGATCGTCCAGCGCTGGAGCCATGAGCAAGTTTTTACACGTGCGGGGGGGGGGGCGGACACCCGTGTAAAGCTGGGTTTACAATACTGATTTTGTGTTGTCAAACTGGCGAGTTGGACCAATTTCGCAATTCGGCAACACCGAGTTGGCGAAAATAGGAATGTTCTAATCTCCCAACTAGTTGGTAGTGACCAGTTGCTCGCGTGACTTTTGCGGTTACACTGCCGATTGTCGGTTGTATAGTTGGGAAGTTGGTCCAATTTGCCAATTTGTCTGCATAAAGTCGGTAGTGTAAACCCAGATGTGTGTGTGTGTGCGTGTACGTGTGTGTGTATGTGTGTGTGAGAAGATGACGCCATTACCTGCGCGCAACTGCCGCATGCACACTAGTGATTGTGAGCCCGTGGCAACGTGAGATGATGACCCTATGTGCTGATACCGTGCCGATAATCCTGTGAAAACTACCATCTAACGATAAACCTATGACGATATCGATGCCCCTGTGTTGATGACACTCTCACAATAACCCAGTGACAATGACTGTGTGACAACATCCACAGAATGACGCCACTGCGACAACACACCCTATATTACGACAACCCCTGTGACAACCCTGCGACTCTCCGAGAGTATGACCTCGTGAAGGTCATCCCCTGCGATGTGTCATTCTTCGACAATGACGGGCGCGGCGTAGTGCCACCTACCCAGATGTCGACCTTGGGTCCGTCGTACTGCTTGCCGATGAAGAGCTCGGGTGCGGCGTAGGGCGGCGAACCACACCACGTGCTCAGCTTCTGATCCACCTCAAAGTGATTGCTGAAGCCAAAGTCTGCAACGGGAAAGAGAGGCAGAGCGCGCGACGACGCTGTAGGAGGAGGCGGCAATGATTTTCCATTCAGATTGTTGGAAAATAAAAAAATGTTTAATAAAAATTTTTTTTAAATAGTTAGGAAACAAAAAGAGGCAGAGGCTCCTATTTAAAAATTTTATTAGGGTTATAAGGGAGCTTTTTTATTATTTTTTTTTAATAATATTTAAAAAATGTATAGGATACAAAAAGGGCCATGGCTAATAATAGGTATAATAGGTACCAGTAACCTCATTGGTCAGGTTTTTCTCACATTTACCTGAAATCTAAGGAGATAGTTGCACCACTCTCCCCCCTTCCACACAAAGGTAACAACCCAGGGATTGGAGGGGGGGTGGGGGTGGATGATGACACTTCTAGCAGGGTAAACCGGCTACAGTCTGACACCGTCCCCCGCCACGACCGTGTGAGGGAACGCAAACTGAACTGTCGTGAATACAAACATTAAACCACTCACCGGCGCGCCTGTGCGAATCTCTCTCTCTGTCTCTCTCTCTCTCTCTCTCTCTCTCTCTCTCTCTCTCTCTCTCTCTCTTTATATATACACATATATTAGCATCAGTATTCAAATCAGTAGCATATATTTAGTAATGACATCAATCACTCTCACCTGTGGACATGAAGAAAGGTATTCTAAATACTCCTGAAAGCACTCGCTTGCGTAAGCTCTTGATTGTGCTGCCATCGAATGGCAATGTTCCACACACGAGCACGTATAACACTACACCCATGCTCTGAAAGCGAAAAGAAACAAGAAATTTTTTCACACTTGTATTGTAAGCTGGAGCTGGGCAAAACAATCTATCATTAGGAAACAATTTTTAGCTGACGATCCTGTAATTTAGGAAAATATTTAATATTTATTCTAATTATAATGCCCCCATTTCTAAATATTCTTGTAACGTATATACAGAGGTACTCACACACATATGCACACGCAATGTAATCAATTTGTTTAACATCGTAGTTTGATACGCCGTGCGCACTGTTCTGAATATGATATTGAGCGTCACACACATCCGCACTTGCCTGGAGCAAACGAACTCGAGGGGCTTTGATATGTGGTAGCCCCGCTCTTCAATTAAGCCTCACGTGGAAATGAGATGACACCGCTGATACAACAACGAGGCACGAGCCAGTCCCAAGATCACACTCAGTTCACGCGCAAACATTGCAGCTGAGTGGCACTCAAGTGATAAGCTGATCGAATGACAAGGGTAGGTGGGGGTAGTGCAATGGTGATCCTATCAAGAGACGTCCTACGGACAGACCCGTTGTGCTACGCATATTTACTTCTCGCATGATTTCAATTTTTCTATGCATCGCACGCGTAATAAGCCACGAAAAAATACAATAGAGGTGCGAGTGCTAGCTCTTTAGCTATACACTCTCGTAAAGGCGGGCTTATGTCGGGCTTGCGAGCCGACTCGACTGGAAGCAACTGGATTTCGAGCAACTGGAAGCGATCGGCAGCGACTAGTTGCGTCCAGTTGCCCACTGTTCTATTCTGAGCAACTAGTGGCGGCCAGTCGCAGGCAATCGCGTCGCAGTCGATCGACCAAAGCACTGCAGTCGCAGTGAATTGTAGCCAGTTACTTCCAGTCGAGTCGGCTCGCAAGCCCAACATAAGCCCGCCTTAAGGCTCCTATTTTCTATGCATCGCATAGGATACGGGCCACACAATACGAGAGAGGTGTGAGCTCCACTCTCTAGCTATAAACTCCTTCCCTTTGTGTATGCCTACTTCGCATGACATTTAATTTTTTTAAGCGCCACACAGGAAATAAGCCACAAATATAGGGGCGAGAAACGACAAATGCACTCGGTATCATGGCACCCGCACGCATGACAGTCTCGCGTCCCGCGCCGAGCAAAAAGCCTCGTCAATTAATAACATATCCCTAATCTATGGACGCGCGCAAAACGTAGCTCAAAGATTTATAGCGCATCGCATGGCAAGGTAAAACCCGCCGCGCACGCCGCGTGATCCAGATGAGACGGGATACTAGAGAAGCGTTGCCGAAAGGAGGTGTTGATCCCAAGCGCTATACGCGCAGATCTTGCGCACAGTTCCGCGGCAAGGCGCACGCGACCGCGGGAACGTCCTACGACAGTATGCAGCGCTGGCAGCTATGGATCCGTGCGCCGAATGCATAGGCCTGCGTACGGATCCATAGCTGCCAGCGCAACCAGATCCGCAATTTTAGTGGGGAAGCATCAGAGGGTAGACCTTTTGGACGTGAACAGTGTCATCTGTTAATAACAACAGAATTCTCTCTTCGGAACCGAGCTCGTTGACGCAAAACACAGAAAGACGTGACGAAAATTCTCGGCACGACTCGAAATTTTAACCGGAATACAATTAAACAGCTCAGCGCATTGGAGCTGCCTGTCCTTTGCAAGTTGATATGAAATACTACTAAAATCACCACCTCGCTATCTATCAACTGTGTTTAAAGTTATTATGAATGTATTTTAATTATGCGTCATGCTTCATGTAAAACGGATGCGCATGGCTAGCAAGTCGATACATAAGTCTGGTTAAATAATATAATTGCCGAAAAATACGCCTCTACTCATGTAAATCGAAATGTTCACCTATAACAAACAATGGACGTATATAATCACATATAATTGAATCACAGCCAACCCTCACGCAACACTGCGCGCGTCGATCCCCATATATGCCGCACAGCCTACACGTAGCGTCAGCTAGTTTTTGAACGTTAACTTGACCAGGAATACAACTAAACCAGCTCGACGCATATGAGGCTGCTCTCTTTGCCATTCACATAAAATATGACATAAAATGTCGAACACCGTCTACTTCAGTCTACACTGCATTTATAAGTTTCTATAATTGTAACTTTTATTAGCGTCACGCTTCATAAAACACGATCAGCTCAGCGAAAGCATAGACTTGGTTATATAAATAACGACTATCATCCATGTTCGATCTATCCGGTATTTTGGGGGACCTATGCGTCTATTCATGTACATAGAATTTCACGCTAATATACAAACAATGACACGTAAATAATCACAGTAATAAGCACAATAGAGGTAGCCATATTTGACTATATCGTAGCGTTCTGATAGCCGTAAGAGTCGTGCATTCTATATATGCGTATATATAGGGAGGACCGTGAGGTATAGACTGCGACAGGGCGAGTTCCAATTTTTCTGCAAATTTTTCTGCCCAACACAATGACGGCCTCGCCCTCGACCGGCAGGTAACGAAGTTGCTATACGCACATGCTGGTAACAATTAAATAACAAAAACGGCAAACGGCTAGAGAGAGATGCACGGCTCGCGACGACGTGCCTCGCCACGGACGCGGGTCAAAGGTTGAAAAAACTCGCACGGAGTACGAGCCAGGTAATATCGCTCGCTCCTAATATATACTTATATTTTTCGAAACTGAGCCTCCAACGGCCTGTGCCTAAACCAAAAATGACACGGCTTACACATGTTGCTATAACTTCTTTTCTTGTCAACATGTAGAAAGACGTGAACATTAACGTACACACAAGTTAACTCAAAACTAATTTAATCGACTACTATTAGAGCTATATTCGGACACCTATTCCACCGTTCGCGATCACTCTATGCAAGTAAGAAATCTTTCGTCCTTTTGACAGACCTACACTTTGCACCAGTACGATACGGCCCTGCCATCATATATCATGGAATGAAAGATCGATGGTATGTATGAATTTCGAAAGAAATATCCTAATTCTGTATGCTGTACGTCTTGAAGATGGCTAGGATGATTATCTGCGCTGCCTCTTCTATATATACAATGGTTAAACTATCGACTCATGATGCCACAAAATGAGACATGGGGGGGGGGGGGGGTAAAACACACATACGGCTGGTGTTTCCACAAACCTCATTCTCAGTGTAAAACAACACATCCAATACACGGTGTAACTAAGATGCTACGAAAATACCGTGGCCACGCTCACGCATCGAGAGACGTTGCGCACATAATCGCGAAGAAATCTTTGCACACTAAAGTGATATTACTCAGCGTGTCAACTGTCGATCGCGCCCCATTACCTAAGGCCGATTGCAGCCACCGTGCGTGGGGTCTGAAAAAATCTCTGGAAATCCCTCAAAAGAGCCTTCTTCGCGCCATCTATGGACCGCGATAATTTACGACGAATAAGTTCAGGGGTTACCTTAACTATAAATTAAATCCTTAGAGCAAAACTAACTCGCGGACCCGACAAAAACATTAGCAATACGACCATTGATTATCGCGAGCCCTAAACGGCAGAGTCGAATGGCGTCTGCAATCGCCAGATACCTGCTCAATTGACCAGCATTCTCGGCTTTCTGTATACAGCCCAGAGGATTCGAGTATTAGTTGGGATAGAGGCAGCGATTGGATGAAAAGCGCCACGCGATGCGCTGTCGGCTCGCAGCGTGTATATTAGCTGCAGATCGTCCAGGCGCTGAGCCATGGCACAATTTTACCACGTGCGGGGGGGGGGTGGCGGACACCCGGTACAAGCTGGTTACCAATACTGATTTTGTGGTTGTTCAAACTGGCGATTGACCCAATTCGCAATTCGGCAACACCTGAGTTGCCGCGAAATAGAATGTTCTAAATCTCCCAAACTAGTGGATGGACCAGTTGCTCCGTGAACTTTGCGTTACACTGCCGAGTGTCGTTTATAGTGGAATTGCCAATTTGCCAAGTGTCTGGCAATAAAGTCGTATGTAAAGCCAGCTGTGGTGTGTGTTCGGTACGTGTGTCGTGTATGTGTTTGAGAAAATGACCCATTGACTCGTGCGCGCAACTGCCGCATGCACACTATGATTGTGAGCACGCGTGCAAATAATGATCGACCATGCTGAATAAACGTGCCATAAGTCCTGTAAAACTACCCATCTAACGATAAACCAACGATATCGATCCCCTGTGTTGATACACTCCCCTCACAATAACCCAGTGACAATGACTGTGTACACATCCACAAATGACGCCACTGCGACAACAACACCCATATATTACCACAACTCCCTGTACAACCCTGCGACCTCCGAAGTATTACCTCGTAAGGTCATCCCCTGCGCTGTTCATTCTTCGCTCAATGACGGGCGCGCAGGCCAACCTACCCAGATGTCGACCTGTCCGTCTACTGCAATTCCGATCACGAGCTCGAGTGCGGCGTAGGGCTGCGAACCACAGCCCCTTGCTCAGCTTCTGATCCACCCAGTGATTGCTGAGCCAATCGCAACGGGAAATAGACAGACGGCGCGACCGACGCTGTAGGGAGACGCAATGATTTCCATTCAGATTGTTTTGCAATATAAAAAAATGTCTTAAAAAAATTTTTTAAATAGTTAGGAAACAAAAAGAGGCAGAGCTCCTATTAAAATTTATTCAGGGTATAGGAGCTTTATATTTTTTTAAAATATTAAAAAATTGCTAAGATACAAAAAGGGCCATTGCTACTAATAGTATAATAGGTACCATAAACCCTCATTGTCAGGTTTTTCTCAGCATACCTGAAATCTAAGAATATTCACCCACTCCGCCCCTTCCACACAAAGTAACACCCGGAGAGGGGTGGGGGTGATGATGACTACTCTACAGGGTAAACGGCTACATCTGACACCGGTCCCCCCACGTACCGGGAGGAACGCAAACTGAACTGCGTAATACAAACATTAAACCACTCACCAGCGCCCTGTGCAATCTCTCTCTCTCTCTCTCTCTCTCTCTCTCTCTCTCTCTCTCTCTTCACAACCTCTCCCACCCCCTCATTTTTATAAATCGATATGACAGCAGCTGTCTCCCGGTCGGATTCAAGGGTAAACAGAGCGAGCATACGCGTGTGCGCGCTGCAGCATTAGTGGAGCGAGCAAAACGCGACCGCACAGGTCAGTGAAAGGACAACGTAATTCTTCTACTTCTTCTTCTTCCTCTTCTCCCTTACTCGGCTTCCGGGGCTTCTCCCAGGGAAATGTATTCAAGCCCGTGCGCGTTCGTACTAAAAACTAGATGCACCACCAAAAGACGTACAACTGGGAAATTAAAATGCGCCATAAAAACCCCACAAGAACTAAGAAAGGTTGTCTAGATAATCTAATATCTTGCAATAAAAATGCGAACACCTGCTTGCGATAAAATGAATGCACAACCAAGGTGTGCGTATGCCGCACTAGTTAAAACAGACACAATAATGCTCGTACTGTTACGGGTGTACCTCAATTAGTGTATTTCTGCACATTCGTTTATTAATTATACTCTATGGGAATCAATGTATGCTTCGCGCGAGCACCGTGAAGCATGAGACCGTCAATCAACCGCTTTGCTAGCTTTGCCCCCAAGGCTGACCCTGCTCCAAACAGTGGTGCCATAGACATAGACACAGACGTCGCTCTCTCTTATTGGGGTAAAACGACTGGGAAAATTGTGAAAAAAATATAGGAAAACGACGGGAAAATGCTAGGAAAGATTGAGGAAAAACGATCTGAATAGTTGAAAGAAATATTTGAAAAAATTTTATGAGAATGATTGCAAAAATCGGATTAAACCAATTGGATATAAAATGATCGCTAAGTACTCACAAATGTGTTGGGGTGCAAAAAACTGTACTGGAAATGCAGAGGGGTGGGGGTGGGGGTAAAGGTTAATATGGTTAAAAAATATCATAGTTATAAATCAGTCAAAATGGAGGCAAATGCTGGCGCAATAGAAAGCATTAATGCAATCTCTAATTATACTGTAACCCCTCTGCCCCCATAAACTTCACTCATATGGATATTATGAAATAGTACAGATAGTACAGTATATGACAGGCACAATGTTCCCCTGTAGTGGACGTAATTAAAATATTAATCTTAGTAATAGCGTGTCTATGGGTGTTATAAAGATCCCCAGCACCCACCACTACGCTCGGCATCCAAGATGATAATTTACACACTTTTTTGTATTGAATAGGCGTATGGTTCAAAATCGCTTCTTGTACAATCTCACCACAAAATACAGGTAATCATCATCAGTGTAGGTGCGCACACACGCGCACACACGCAGCAGCAGCAGCAACAGCAGCAGCAACAGCAGCAGCAACAGCAGCAGCAACAGCAGCAGCAGCAGCAGCAACAGCAGCAGCAACAGCAGCAGCAGCAGCAGCAGCAACAGCAGCAGCAACAGCAGCAGCAGCAGCAGAACCTGTGCATGTCTATGACGAACCCCATCCCCCTCCCCCCGCCCCGCTACGAGAAGCTTCAAGAGGAGGAGGAGGAGGAGGAGGAGGAGACGGGGCAGCACAGCACAGCGACCACACATAATAACGGACCCCTCCTCCCCCCCGTGGCTCGAGCGCGACGCTCCCACCCCCACCGACGCTACCTGCTATCTTGATATTCTGGCTGGCGTCCAGCAGCAGATTCTCGGCCTTGAGATCTCGGTGCACGACGTGTCGGCCGTGGCAGTAGCTGACCGCCGCCAGTATCTGCTTGAACTTCTTGCGAGCCTCCCTCTCTGCCATGCGACCGTGCGCAACTATGTGGTCTGTAACGACGACGACGATTAATTAACAATCCTCAAGTCAAACATTAGGTTCATCCTTCGCCGAACATTCGCGTGCGTTCACGTGCGACGATTTTCGTTAACCAAAATTAAATCGCTCACTGTCCGAAACTTTCGCACGTTCGTACGAAACCGCGGGTCAACACTCGACCGCGGTAGCCATTACATTAATGACGTTCATCGGTTTTTATACTGCGAACAGAGAATTTGATCGGATGCAGTGGGACCTCCTTATTCCCTGTGACAAACATGCACAGTGTATAGGTGGTATCGGGGGGGGGGAGGGGGTAAGCTCATCACAAGGGGTAAGGGGCTCACGACACATCGGTCAAATCTTTGTTTGCGGGGGAACCAACATCCGTCAGTATTACACATCTGACGTTCACTCGTTCCCGTACTGCGGACAAAAGATTCGGCCAGGAGGTAGCTACTACGCTGCGTTGAATGTTGTATCATGGTCATGTGATTCGCATGAAGGTCTTCCTCACAGCATGTTCACAGTTGCCCATCCGTGACCGTGTACGTCTTTCCACTTCCGCTCGAAAACTAATTACCCTCAATTCCCCCCTGGGGGAAGGAAAAAAGATGATCCTGCCAACGGAGGGAGTAGAGCGGCGAGCCGGAAGAGGCGTCCTTACCGAAAATTTCCCCACCGCTGGCGTATTCCGTTACCAGGTAGATCATTCGTTCCGTTTCCATGACCTGCGAAAAACGAAGCACATGCGGAAATGTTTACAAAATTTACGAGAGGGGATTGTCTTTGTGTGGCGCACGGCAGCATTGTAACATATGTGCAGTGCGCTTCTAAAAAATTAATACCTGGAGAAATGTAGAGAGAGAGAGAAAAACGCACAAACGTTCGGTCACACGTCGACACAACACTAGCCGATGAGTCAGCGAAATGCGGATGGAAAGACTGAATTGAGAGCAGTTAGGTTCGCATCTGCCCTATCCATATAATCAGGGGTTAATAATGACAAATTTGTCATTATTAACCCCTGATATAATGCAAGATAATTATGCACAAGAAAGATATATCTTTCTTGTGTGTCTTTGTAGTGCGGTTCTTGGTTTAGTGCCAATGTACTCCCTTAGTTAGTGTTAGCGTGCTCCCGTGTTTAGTATTAATGTACTCATTTAGTCAGTGTTAGCGTACTCCCTTGTTTAGTATTAATGTACTCCTTTAGTTAGTGTTAGTGTACTCCCTTAGTTAGTGTTAACCTACTCACTTGTTTAGTGTTAATGTACTCCTTTAATGTTTAGTGTTAGCATACTCCCTTGTTCAGTCTTAATGCACTTTTTTAATATTTAGTCCTAATGTATTTCTTCAATGTCTAGTGTTAGTGCACTTCTTTAATGTTTAGTGTTAGTGCACTTCTTCAATGTCTAGTGTTAGTGCACTTCTTTAATGTTTAGTGTTAGTGCACTTCTTTAATGTTTAGTGTTAGTGCACTTCTTTAATGTTTAGTGTTAGTGCATTCTTTTATGTTTAGTGTTAGTGCACTCTTTAATGTTTAGTGTTAGTGCCTTCTTGTAATGTTTAGTGTTAGTGACTTCTTTAATGTTTAGTGTTAGTGCACTTCTTTAATTGTTTAGTGTTAGTGCACTTCTTTAATGTTTAGTGTTCGTTGCACTTCTTTATGTTTAGTGTTGGCTGCACTTTTTTTTAATGTTTATTGTTAGTGCATTCTTTTAATGTTTTGTGTTAGTGCACGTTTTAATGTTTTAGTGTTAGTGCACTTCTTTAATGTTTATGTTGTGCCTTCTTTAATGTTGTAGTGTTTAGTTGCAGCGTCTTTAATGTTTAGCTGTGGTAGTGCACGTCATTTAATGTTTATGTTTAGTGCAAGTCTTTAATGTTTAGCGTTAGTGACTTCTTTAATGATTTAGCGTTAGTGCACTTCTTTATGTTTAGTGTTAGTGCAACTTCGTTTAATGTTTAGTGTTAGGTGCACTTGCTTTATGTTTAGTTGTTAGTGCACTTCTAATGTTTAGTGTTATGCACTTCTGGCAACACGACAGTCATCAAGTGCAATGGTTAACTTTAACTTACGAATCTTTTAAATAAACGTATCCTTAGTTAGTGTTAATGTATCTCCTAGTATAGTGTTAGTGTACTCCCTTAGTTAGTGTTAGTGTACTCCCTTGTTTAGTGGTTAATGTTACTCCTTAGTTAGTGTTAGTTGTACTCCTTAGTTAGGTGTTAGTGTAGTCCCTTTAGTTAGTGTTAGTGCTACTCCCTTAGTTAGTGTTAGTGTCTTCCTTGTTTAGTGTTATGTATTCCCTTAGGTTAGTTGTTAGTGTACTCCTTAGTTTGTGTTAGGTTACTCCTAGTTAGGTGTTGGTATCCCTTAGTGGTGTTATGTACTCCTTAGTAGTGTTATTACTCCCTTAGTTTAGTGTTAGCGTACTCCCTTACGTTAGTGTTAGTGTACTCCCTTAGTTTGGTGTGGTGGAGCGTATCCTTGTTGTTTAGTGTACTCCCTTGTTTAGTGTTAATGTATACCTTGGTTAGTGTTGGTGTACTTCCTTTAGTTGTTAGTGTTGTGACTTAGTGTACTCCCTTACGTGTGTTAGTGTACTCGCTTTAGTTAGTGTTAGTGTATCTCCTTAGTTTGTGGTTAGTGTACTCCCTTGTTTAGTGTTAATGTACTCCCTTCAGTTTAGTGTATAGGCTACCTGCCCTTTTAGTTAGTGTAGTGTACTCCCTTGTTTCAGTGTTAATGTACCCCTTTAGTTAGTGTTAGCTTTACTCCCTTAAGTAGTTCGTGTTAGCGAATCCTTCTAGTGTTAATGTACTTCTTGCTTTAGTGTTTAATGTACGCCTTGTTTCTTAGTGTTAATGTATCTTCTTTAGTTTAATGTACGTTTCCTTGTTTATGTTAATGTCCTTCCCTTGATAAGTGGTTAATGTACTCCCTTCTTTGTTTAATGTCTTCTTGTTTAGTGTTGATGTACTCCTTTTTTGTGGTTAATGTACTTCCTTGTTTAATGTTAATGTTACTCCCTTCTTAGTTTTTAATGTACTTCCTTGTTTAAATTGTTAATTGCTACGGCCCTTCTTTAGTTTTAATGTACTTTCCTTGTTTAGTGTTGATGTACTCCCTTTCAGTGTTAATGTATTCTTGTTAATGTTAATGTACTGCCCGTTCTTTAGGTGTAATGTAGCTTCCTTGTTTAATGTTTAGTGTATTTACTGGCAACACGGACAGTCATCAACAGCGATGGTGGTGCGCGGGCGATAACTGTGGGTGCATGCGTTCATGCGCGGGCAGGCCAATAGGTAAAGGTAATAGGGCGGTCTTCCTCATTTTTAGCAATGACACGGACCACTGCCACGGCGCTGAGTTCACTGAGCGGTGATTGAATCCACTAACGACTGGCAGCCGCAGAGTAACAGTTCAATAAGCCGCTGCCTGCTGGCAGACACAAGTGCAACAATCGGCTTTCCGCTGGTATGCTGCTTGTTGCGCCGCCGCCGCCGGCGCATACGGTTGCGTGGTAAACTGCATCCGTAATTTACGCCTATGACGACAGCGATTCAGCTTCGCACATGAGACGATGAGTGAATTGCAAGTTCAATGCAAATTCTCTTCTCGAGATATGACTGCCCAGGGAAGGCGTTTAGCTGACGTATCTGGAGAGTGTTGCACTCGCCAGCATCCCGTCGGACTAGTGGTGTCAGATCCTGTTATTAAGCCAAAACAAATCTCCAGGGAAGGCATTCACCTACTGTGGCATGCTAGGTGTTTGCCTTTTTTATGTATCATTCCTAAATGCGAGTGTTTGTAAACAAGTACTTCGGAAAATGAATCTCTAGAAAGGCTCTTCGATACTGGATCCTTGGTGATGTATTCAAAGTGTTTCGTTGTCGTTGCCACAAACACACCTTGAGACGAGTTAGTCTTCTACTCGCCTCACAATGCGTCGATTGTACTTTGAGACTAGTCTCTACATCTCCACTCGCGTAGATACGACCTTGACCAGTTCTTACTTTCGCCTCACAATCGTGTACTGATAATGTACTCCGGAGAGCTTAGTCTCTAATCTCGCCACAATGGCTGTACTATACATGTACTCGAGACGCTCAGTTCTACTGCCTCACAATCGCTGTACATGATACGCATGTACTCCGAGACCTAGTTCTTCTACTCGCCTCACGAATGCTGTACTGATACATGTACACTCCGAGACATAGTCTCTACTCGCCTCACAATCGCTGTACTAATACATGACTCCGGGAGCTAGTCTCCTTACCGCCTCACAATCGCTGTATTCAATAAGTGTACTTCGAGACGGGTGAGTGTCTTAGTCGCTCACAATCGTTGTTACTGATACATGTCTCGAGACGCTGTCTTATCGCCTCACAGATCGCTATACTGATACATGTTCTCCGAGACGCTAGTCTGTATCGCCTCCACAATCGCTGTATCATACATGTACTCCGGACGCTAGGTCTATACTCGCCTCACATCGCATGTACTATACATGTACTCGGACGCTAGTCTTACTCGCCTCAAATCGCGTGTACTGTAATGTACTCCGAGACGCTAGTTCATCGCCCACCATTGCTGTATGATACATGGTACTTCTGAGACGCTAGTCTCTTACTCGCCTCACAATCGCTGTCTTGATACATGTACTCCGAGACGCCTAGTCTCTATCTCGCCCTCCAATCGCTGTACTGATAATGGTACTCCGAGGCACGCTAGGTCTCTACTCGCCTCACAATCGTATGTACTGATACATTACTCGAGACGCTGTCTCTACTGCGCCTCACAATCGCTGTACTGTACATGTACTTGAGCGCTAGTCTCTACTCGCTCACTCGCTGTATCCATACATGTACTCTGAGACGCATAGTCTCTACTCGCTCCAATCGCTGTCTATACATGTACTCCGAGACGCTAGTCTCTACTGTCTCACAATCGCTGTATTGATACATGTACTCGAGCACTTAGTCTCTACTCCGCCTCACAATCGCTGTATCATACATGTACTCGAGACGCTGTCTCTACTCGCCTTCACATCGCTGTACTGATACATGTACTCCGAGACGCTAGTCTCTACTCGCCTCACAATCGCTGCTACTGCATACATGTACTCCGAGACGCTAGTCTCTTATCGCCTCACAATCCTGTACTGATACATGTACTCGAGACACTAGTCTCTACTCGCCTCACAATCGCTGTATCAATACATGTACTCGAGATGTCTTTCCGTTACCCTGCCATCATCGCCCCGCCCGTCGATGTTTTTTTGGCGAACGTCAGTGTAAACGGTTAGCATAGTGCGTGCTGCAGAATGCCACGGAGTTGTAAGGAGTTTGTGAAGCCCGTGTAATCGCGTAATGCTCATATTCTGCAGCCAGGTGCGAACGATGCGGGGTGAGGGAGGGTAGGTAGGCAGAAGCTCCTACCTGCTACGTGTCAGCATACACCACATAGCATTAATGTGTACTATAAAATATCACAAAGACATTGACACACTCATCAATTGACAAGTGCCGGATTATTGCAAGATGGCAGTTTTTCTTGCCACATACTCCGGGATTACGGTGAAACCATTGAGTCCATTGAGTGAGACCATTGATTTTACTTGCTAATCATCATTTTATTCCACAATATGCACAGATAGATTTGTGTGCCATAATAGTATATTATATGCGAATTCTGTCCACTGCCACAAGCGTTCCGCGGATGAATCTTAAGATGAATGCAGCATGTGCTTTCATCACTAAATCTTTACGTTATTGCAGGGTGCGTGTGGATGGCACCACGTGCATGCAGTAACGGCACACGTCCTGAATCGCACACGCTTGATAATTACACATTGCAATGGCTTCCTACAGTCTGCACAATGTAATGTATTCTCTGCCGCTGCGAACAGAGAATGCCCCACGAGCCAGACCTCTGCGCCTCGCCGGACCCCCACCCTCACCGCGTTTCTTATTCGGACGAACTCGACATAATTTCTTTTTTCTCTTGGCTGCGATGTGGGGATTATATTTCGTCGCGTGTGTCATTGCAGCGAGGGAAACCCGTGCAACCTGAATTACATTGATATACGATTTCACCTGTATGCGACTGGCAGCAAATAGAAACAAAATGCGATTCTATCACTCTCAATACATCTGCATCGGCTAGATCTTCGAACACCTGTTTGAAGTAACCGAATTGTCATCACTACATCTGTACTCACTCTTATATCACTTAAACAAGAGCGCAGAGCGTTGGCCCTCATCTGGGCGTCTTGTTGCTACGGTTATGAACGTACAATTTCAGTCGTGCGTAGTGAACATGTTGTTAGGCGCAGATATGCAGATACGCAGTTGCGTAACACATCATTGTGTAGGACACGGCTCACTATCTCCCCCCCATGCGATTTTGGTTTGATTTTATTAAATGATACTTTGCTTTCACTTCGAATTTGGTTGTCTAGATTCACAGCCTATCTATGGTATCTATCTATAAAAGATTTCAAATATGAGCATTGGATTCTCCAAGTTTAATTAGAGGGGGCGGGCAGTCTTCTCTCCCACCTCCCTCCCCACTGCTCCACTCCCTCCCTGCTCCCATCGTCACTCCTCTTGCTCTCACTTTCCCCTCCTTACCTCCCATCTCCCTCCTCTGCTTGCGCTCCTCCCTGCCTCCCACTCCATCCTTGCACCACATTCGCACGACCTATTGTACCCCGTTTCCCGCTCGCGATACACACCAAATCACCCGTTTTTCCTCGTCCCCGTCTCAGATTTTACATACTCACTCTCTTCTCTCTTTATCTTAGCTTTCTCTCCTCTCTCATCTAATTATATAAAAAAAATAAAACGCCGCATGATTAGGCCTTTTATGCCCCTCATAATTGCTTTCTTCCTATGGCCCCTGAGTGTAACCATCATAGAAATCATAATTATATAGTGTCTCTAATATTTGCTATGATAACAGCTTATGTTCGCACACACTGTGGTAAATGGATACGCACGGCCATAGCTACATGATATATGTTAAGATTACAACGATGAAAAAGTAATATTATATATTATAGGTACTAGTTATTATTTATTGTTTAACAAAGTTACATGAGAAAAAATCTAATTTAACTAGCGCTATAGTTGCGCGAGATGGCGCGCGTTGCAAGTGTAATCAATAAATCAAAGATGGCTATCGTTCCTGAAATCCTACAGTAGGTACAGGCCACAAATCCAAGTAAGTATATTCAGGCAAGCGATAATTTTGCTCAGCTTTGATTAACAGGTGCATTGCAGGTTGGCAGCAACATTATGATTAGAAGGCGTGGCCAGCATGGGCTGCCTGTGTTTTTGCCTATGCGAGCATTCACTGTTCATCATTCAGCCTCAGGCCCAGGGTGATAGGGATGCTATAGACAGACTGCTTTAGAAACATCATATGATTTAAGCGAGCGTAAACCTTGTTAACAAACATTTGCCTTTGCAATTAAACTGTGCAACTGTAGCCTCACATTGACACAGGTATGGGCTCTAAATAATGGCAAAAGCAGTTCAGTCCTTTGTTAACAGTCACAATCGATGTTTAACCCTCCTCTGAGGTCAAAAGGTTAATCCGACACTTACTCTTCGCATGTCAGTGGAAAGCATATTTCATGGTCCTTTCAATAAAGCCAAAAATGCTAGGGTCACCGCTGAAACAAAAAGTTTTCCAATCGCTCATCAGACCATGTCCTCAGAAATGTCTAAATCTCTGCCCTGTGCCCATTGAGCTTTGACCTGTGACCTCCAATTTCGGCACAGTGGATGGCCTTTTCCTACCATGATGCTATACACCGACTATCACGAGCCTAGGTCGAGGCCGTTTAGATTTGTGCCGCAATTCTGCATTTCCTCCCTATACCTTAAGTTTTGGAGTAAATCGTTCCCCCTTCTTTTACACCTCTTAAGCTTTGACCTTTGACTCCCAGCTTCGACATCCCAACTCGTTTTCGGATTACCCCCCCACGTCCCGAATATCGTGACCGTACGTCGAGCGGTTAAGATTTGTGCCCAACTGTTGACGGACGGACGGACGATCATGCGATTCTACAAGCTGCATCTGACTATGTCAGATGAGCTAACAAAGGCACGATGTCAAAATGTTTCCAACACTCCGAGGGCAGTGTTAATTATAATTGGCGAGAGATCGCTCGCGTACCTGGTAAAGTCTGACGATGTGCGGATGACCGAGTAGTTTCATTATCTGTATCTCGCGAAAGATCTTCTTCAGGTTGTCCTCATCTAGCTGCGTCTTGTCGATTATCTTTATAGCAACCTGGAAAAAAATGATTTTTTTCATTGATAAGTAATGGCAATACCATGACTGTCATTGACATCATCATGTGTAAGCGTATGATCACAAGGAAACGAAGAGACGAGCTCGAAATCACAAAAAAGTGTCTATTGAAAAAGCTCCTATCTATGAGAACTCATGGCCATAATCCACATCTTTGGAAAATGGAGCTATATGCTCAATCAATTACATCAATTACCAATATTTACCTTATGTACCTCCCTTATCTTTATCATACGAATCTCTTAGGTACATATCCCTCTGTTTTGGTATGCACACAGTGACACTGACGCACATTCACTACATAGCAAATTTTCTTTATTATTTTATATTATATTATATTGTATTGCATTGTGTTGTAATGTATTGTATTGTATTGCATTATATTATATTATATTATATTATATTATATTATATTATATTATATTATATTATATTATATCTGATATTTGTTCTGTGACACTTTGTAACGTCCAGTTCTGAACAGCCGATGACTCTCTTTCTGGAATCTCTCCTTAGGTCTCTCATAATGAACACTGTGGGCGAAGGTAATTTGATTCTGCTTGGTGATGGAATAATGCACACAGGTACGCACGCACGCACACACACAGACACGCACGCGCACACACACAAGCCCAAAAGCACACACGCACGCACGCATGCACACAACAAACAAATAACAGGATCGAATACGGGTGGTTTCTTATGCAAGCAGCACCGCACTCCTGGGGCTGTAGAGTTACCTGGCGGGTACTAGTGCAAGGGATAGGTTTATATATATACAGGGTAGGTTAGGGCGCATTGGCGTTGAGTTAACTAAACCATGAAGGCGATCACCCAAAAATGTCTAGGAACCACTGAGCACCCAGGCACACCAACCCGCTTCACAACATTACTACCAGGTTGGTTTCCATACACACCCTTAAAGACATTCTGATGCCCTTTCCTTGACCTATCCGTGACAAATGCATGTTGTCCGTGACCGATTCCATATTGCGCACGCAAAGAAAATACAACTAGAAAGGGCAGTTGTCGCCAACTACATGATTGTATCCCCGTGTTCTCCCCAAGATGTGTAAGTATACGAAGTTTGGTCACGCTAGGTCAATTAGGGGCCGAGTTATAGAGCGGAAGGAAAATATGATAAAGGTCAAGGTCAAGGTCAATGTCAAATAAAGGTTGCAGTGACCTGGTTTCGGTACGCGACACACCTTCTCCCCATGATGTGTAAGTATACCAAGTTTGGTCGCGCTAGGTCAATTAGGGGCCGAGTTATAAAGCCAAAGAGAAATGTGATCAAGGTCAAGGTCAAATAAAAGCCGCAGTGACCTGGTTTTGGTACGCGACACACATTCTCCCCAAAATGTGTAAGTATACCAAGTTTGGTAGCGCTAGGTCAATTAGGGGCCGAGTTATAGAGCGGAAGGAAAATATGATCAAGGTCAAGGTAAAGGTCAAATAAAGGTCGTAGTGACCTGGTTTTGGTAGCGCTAGGTCAATTAGGGGCCGAGTTATAGAGCGGAAGGAAAATATGATCAAGGTCAAATATAGATCGTAGTGACCTGGTTTTGGTCACGCTAGGTCAATTAGGGGCCGAGTTATAGAGCAGAAGGGAAATGTGATCAAGATTAAGGTAAAGGTCAAATAAAGGTCGCAGTGACCTGGTTTTGGTACACTGCCCACCTTCTCCCCAAGATGTGTAAGTAGACCAAGTTTGATCACGCTAGGTCAATTAGGGACCGAGTTACAGAGCGGAAGAGAAATATGATCAAGGTCAAGGTAAAGGTCAAATCAAGGTCGCAGTGACCTGGTTTTGGTACGCTGCCCACCTTCTCCCCAAGATGTGTAAGTAGACCAAGTTTGGTCACGCTAGGTCAATTAGGGGTCGAGTTATAGAGCGGAAGGGGAAATCTCTGCCGCGAACCGAGCGGCGGCGGCGGCGGCAGCTGTACAGACATGAAACCATAGTATCCCCCCCCCCCTACAATAACCAAGATGCCTTGCAGCTACTTGCTTTTGCGGTTACGCAGTAAGAGCAATGTTTACGTTCACATAACAAACAGAACGCAATGAGATGAACGCCACAATGCACCAGTCCCCCGTGTTTACTGTGTGCGTAACTCGCCACTAAACATTTAATCAGATTTAATATACGTATCGCGCACGCATAATATAATATCACACCGCATCAGGCGCATGGGCTCCACGCAGAGACAGCTGTGCAGTGTGCACGGATACACGGAGAGGCATTCCATTATGCCCTTGAGGCGTTGTTGCGCAATTTTTGCGGAAGTCTGGAAGCCTGCGTGTGCCTGCGGGCGCGCCTACGTAGACCCGTAGGACCAACGACCCATAGGATCATGGAACGGTAATCCATTGAAAATCGTAATGAAATCCACACGTTTATTTTTTCGTGCCGGCACACTCGTGTATCATTCCCGATTGTAGCTTTTTCCTCAATTCCAGGAAAGAGTTTACCTGTCACTCTTTCATATAGTCCAGCACTGCCCACCCCCTACATTTTAGTAATGATTAGCACCACGCGACTGAAACAATCGTGCCCCCCCCCGTACTTCAATCAATGCCGCCCCAGCCAACAGGCACGTACAGAGAGCGTCGATGTGCACATACAGTCAGAGATGCGTGCCTCGCACGCTGCTTTTTTCGGCGACCTTTGAAAATATAACGTGAGAATGTCGTGCGATAGTGCCCTGGCTCAAAGGATGTTAGGAATATTACACAACTAGTAATTTGTTAGTTGTCCAATCGGGCAACTAGCCAAAAGAATAACTTGTCCGACATACTTTCACTTGTACTGAGCCACATATCATAGCGCTTCGCAATCTGCCATGAATAAAAAACAGCTCACAATAACCAGCCTATTTCTGATCGTGTCTGTGGAAGGCCCATCAGCTCAGGACATCCCCTTCCATGAGGCAGCAGAAGATGCCTGGGTAGCAATAAGGAAAAAGAAACTAGAAATTTAGAGCTTTTATTACGATATTACTACTCAGTAACGGCCCTCAATCCGAACAAAATATAGCGAAATATAGTTTCACCCTACATAGTATATTTATTTGTATATTTCGCACATTGCTTTATAACATTTTACTGGTTACATTCACACTAGTATACAAATTTAACAATGAAAAATGACTCCTCACTCATGACTCTTGACTCAACCCAAATTATTTTGACATAATTATAGATAATAATTTTTGTGTTAAAAATGCTCCAAAATAAGGCTCAGATTGCACCAGAGAGCATCTAAAACCCCTGGACCCCGGCCGCAAGTTCCCAGTTTTACATGTTTGAATTTTAGGTTGTGGACCACCCTGGATACAGGCTGCAACGCAGCATGCGTAAGTAGACAGATATTTGTCCATGATGAGACACCATAGGCCTCACTGTATCAACAATAGAATTTGAGACCAAATCAACAAACAGCAAAAAAAAAACGACAAAACAAACGAACAACAAACACAACTGAAAAAAATGAACAAAGAACCGTGAAGCCTTAGTCGTTATGTCACGTTGATTCTGTCCTACTCCGGGATGGCTCCCCCTACTCCTACTCCCGGGATGGCTCCCTGTACTCCTATTCCTACTCCGGGATGGCTTCCCCTATACCTACGCCCGAGATGGCTTCCCCTACTCCCATTCCTGGGATGGCTCCTCCTACTCCTACTCCAGGGATGGCTCCCCCTACTCCTACTCCTGGGATGGCTCCCCCTATCAGGGTTCTCCAAGAGCACTTATAGCCTGGCGGCTCGCCAGGCTATCGTCGAGCCCCGCCATCCTAAAATGCACCCGCCACTCTAAATATCACAGCCACCATGCTAACTATCATAGCTCCCGGACCCCCCTAGCATGCAAACTGCCGTTGGCGATTTGCAATTAGGTCCGTAAAAGCAGCACCCGCCATGCTATAATGAAAAAGCTTGAAGAACCCTGCCTATTCCTACTCCTACTCCTGGGATGGCTCCCCCTACTCCTGCTCCCAGGATGGCTCCCCCTACTCCTACTCCCAGGATGGCTCTCCCTACTCCTATTCCTACTCCAGGATGGCTCCCCCTACTCCTACTCCCGGGATGGCTCCCCCTACTCCTACTCCCGGGATGGCTCCCCCTAATCCTACTCCCGGGATGGCTCCCCTTACTCCTATTCCTACTCTGGGATGGCTCCCCCTACTCCTACTCCTACTCCTGGGATGGCTCCCACTACTCCTACTCCCAGGATGGCTCCCCTTACTCCTATTCCTACTCCGGGATGGCTCCCCCTACTCCTGCTCCTGGGATAGCTCCCCCCTACTCCTACTCCTGGGATGGCTCCCCTACTCCTACTCCTGAGATGGCTCCCCCTACTCCTACTCCTGGGATGGCTCCTCCTACTCCTACTCCCGGGATGGCTCCCCCTACTCCTACTCCAAGATGGCTCCCCCTATTCCTACTCCCGGGATGGCTCCCCCTACTCATACTCCCGGGATGGCTCCCCCTACTCCGACTCCCGGGACAGCTCCCCCTACTCCTACAGCCCCATCCCGGCACAGACGCAGAATCCGGGTTGCTATCCTACGCAGCTCTCGTCGCTCCACGCGTGGTTGTTGTCGCGGCAACGAGAGATGCTGCGGAAGTTGCCCATCCCCCGGAGAGGGGACGAAGCGACCCACGTAATCAGCTCTCTCGCACCTGAGCTCAGGCGACTTGCGCTTTAAGCTCGACGGGCCGACAACACCTGTCGCCGTGACGACGAGTGGCACACGATGATCGTGCACGCACACCAGATTCAAAGAGCGCGTGAGCGTAGCCATTATTACTCCCCTCTCATAATTGTGTCTTCCAGACACATGTAATTGATGATTACATGCAAAAGCCTGAATACTCTTTCGCCAACCAGCATTGAATTTTGCTATACCATGCATGCACACGCGTGCATATCGGTATGCTACAGGTAACATTCTACGATGCCTGCTGTCCTTCTGC